TAAAGAATATATATATATATATATATATATATATATATATATATATATATATATATATATATATAATTTACCTATCTTCACGCGATTTTATTTTTTTACATATTGTCGTATACTCATTTATTTGCCGTCATTTTAGTCGAAACGTTCAAATTTAAATTTTATTTTGTGTTTTTGTATCCTGTGCTCCTTGTGATGCTCAATAAATATTCTTATTTTTATTATTTAAACGATACTTGGTACGTTTGCTCGTTTGCTCGGCTTTATTTAGTTGTTTATTCTATACGAACTGTCTATTTGTCTCTTTTAAAAATAAATAATATAACATTGTAGATAATAAGAAGATAATATCAAATAATTTAAAAAATAATTAATAAATATTATTTAAAAATATATTCATATAGAAAATAATTATATATAAAATAATAAAATTTTATTCTTTTCTTTAATAAATAAGTCTATAAGTGCATAGAAAAACATTATCTTCTAGAAAGTAAATCCCTTAATTTAGATTTAAATTTTGCTTTTTCTTATTTAATATCATAGTAAAATAAGTAAATAAATACTATTCATTATACATAATTAGACATTATAGATAGATATATAGACATTATAGATAGTTAAATTAATACTATATAATTAAAAAAAATAATTATTAAGCATAGCGCAAGGAATATTATTTATCGTAAAAATGTAATCATAAATAATAATTTAGAAAAAATAATCTTATTACTTTTATCTCAAATATCTTTTAATATATGTAAAGATATCTTTAAAACAAATTATCTTTTCGAAAGCTAATCTTTCAATTTTGATCTGAAATTTTTTATAAAAGCAGCGCGAATGTTATCGTCATTTGTATAATTAACAGTAAAATCGCTAATTTTTCTACATCCACACAATAACAACAAGGGTATTTCCTCATATTGTGCAGAATATATTTAACAATGGTGTTACATTCGGGTCTGACCTGACGTATCGCATTGAAACGACTGTTTTAATCCAATTAATTTATTCATGCGCCGCAAAATATTTCATTCGCACCATGCATTTTATTTATCGAAACAATCTTTAGAAAAAATAGAGAACAAACATAGTCAAGTCACACTTTTTACTTTTACGCAATTAAATTAAATCTTACGTTAACTTGTCAAATAAATTTTAATTCCTACAATGAAATCTTCGATCTGTCGACTTCAACAGTGTTCGTGAAAATTATTCAGAGAATCTAAATTATTCAGAGAAATTCAGAGAAACAAAGATTTTGGAAAAAATACCATAAGAAGCTCGTAAATCACAAAAGAGATGGCAAAGGATCCATCCTTTTGATGATTTAAACGTCACAATTTAATATATGTATTGCTTATCTTATTTTTAGTCTTATTCTTTAGTAGAAAGTTGGCAAATAGAAACCAAAAAGAATGAGAATTCTAATCTATGTTATCAAGATAACAGAATTTTGAATATCCATAAATTATATCATCAATAGCCTATTAAAATTCATTATAACGTGCCAGATAATTATGATATAATATAATACAGAGTATCCTTATCTAATAACATCTAATTGATATATATTGATATCTACGCGCATTTTTCTGGTGACGTGATTTATTTGTATATTCTCCGTACTTTCGTTTACATTATTTAGCGGCATGGTATCTATCTAACTGAAATTTCATAATCTCTCTGTGAAATATATCTCGGTTATTCATTACCTAAATTCTCAATTATCATTATTCACACAAGTAGAATATTTAATCTCATGAAAAATGTCGGGAAATATTATATTAAATTACAAATAATTATAAATATACGATATCCTGCCATTGTCCGTGAGAGAGACAATGTTTATTCATAATAAGTTTTTATTCACAAATAAATATATTGCAAATTATATTCATAAGTAAATATATTTCTTCACAAAGATTAATCTATTTAAAGTTATTTTTCAAGCAAATTTTTCTTACGTGAATTGTATATACATGAATTTTAATCTTTATTCATGAGAAGTTTGTGATGCGACGCAGTTGTCAAAATAAAAAATTAACTAAAAAAGAAAGAAAGAAAGAGAAGGGCGATACTATGCCGCTATAGTAGTCTATATATGAGACGCAGTACATAATGCAGAAAAATGCATCAATTTGCGTCGCAAAAGTGAATGATTAATTACGCGATTTATTACTTCGTTGCGTCGTGTGGATCGTTACAATAAACAGATAGATCGACATGAATTAACAAAAAAAATTTTTTAAATAAGAAAAAATAGAAAAAACTTTCTCCTACTGTAACGTAACTCTTCATGATGACATTTATTATAGCCATAATCTTTCTACA